GTTTGGGACGTTCTTCCATATAAGTTCTTAATAGGCGCGCGTACCAAAATGTAATTACATGACATGTAGGCTGTGTGTGGCGGGATATATAAACTTTTAGGTTGAGGTGTAGATTTGTGCAGTAGTTTCAGGCTGCCGCGCCCTGCCGCAATAAGTTCTAATGTCACGTTGTAAGCCTCATTTTGGCGCCCCTTTACCTTGGCGTCCGGGGACATATGTACCCCCCTGCCCCACCCCCCCTAGCTACGCCTCTGCTGGAGTGTCAGTGAAAAGGCTATCAACAACACGCTGCAGTGCTCATCATGCTGCAGTTAAGCCAGTTAAAGAATAGTTCGATACGTTTGTGGCGGCGATTGAAGCTCTTTGTGATCCACGTGAAAATGTGGACACAAGAGGAGCAGCACAAGGTCGTTTGCCTGCTGTCTGTGATTTCACTTTTCTGTGCTGCCCGTACTTTGTTGTGATGTACCTTGCGGAAGTTACTCTTACACAGCAGTACCTGCAGACTGAGGGCTTAACTCTCGACAAGGTGGTGACAAAGCTCGAGGCGCCAAGACTTTTTCTGCACGAGGAGCGCAGTCACCTAGTGGAGCATGCAGTTGAACAGGCGCTTTTAAAATCAGACGAATATGGAATTGCAGTAGAGAGAAGAGCCGATAATTCCGATTTAAACCCTCCTGTACCATTGCCATGCTAATTTTCTCACGCTCCGCCCACTTACCCCTGGGGTTGAGCCCATCAAAACTCTTTATAACCTCTTGTTGATAGCAGATCTTTCTCCTAAATCAGCAGTTGTCCTGCTGTATCGGTTCCACCTGATGACGGTTGCTTGTGTTGCGATCGAAACGTCGTGATTTAATTTTATGTTTTCTACCTACGTGACTTTACCGAAAGAACCAAAGAGTGTGGATCCCTGCAGTCACGAAAACTTCAAATCTCGAAAGAAGAGCCAGGTTCAAGCAGAGGATGGTATGGGATCAGGCAAGCGATGCTGGACTCACTCTGCAAGAAGAAAATAAGTGGGCAATTCTTGAGTGCATTGATCGCTTTCATTCTGAACTTCAGATCCGAGCAAGAGCCATCAAGGAAGCAGCAGCCATGTTTGAGGCCGTTCAAGCAAAGAGTCTCATATCTGCCACTGAAGAAGCGTTAAAGGTGTCCATTCCAAAATTGACCACTTTCTATGATGAGGTATCTGAGAGTAAGCTTTTAACAGAAGTACTCGGGCTGAGAAGGCACCTGAAAGCAGCAGAGATTGATCTGGAAGAAGCCAAAGATTGGGCAACAGACGTTTTGACATTCATACCTGAATGGGACTTCGTAGAATCTCTCCCAACCCTTTCACTCAGCCTAAAATTATTTATGACGATCTGTGTGTCTGTGGCTTTGTGTGAGAGGAGCTTTTCAAAGCTGAAACTTATAAATAACTATTGGCGATCTACTATGGGACAGTCATCAAGGCTTTCCGATCTTGCGATATTATCAATTGAAAGTGAGTTGGCGAAAGGCATTGATTTCGATTAAGTGATTCAAAAGTTTGCAGCTTGGAAGGCCAGGAAAGGAAAGTTCTGATTTAGTCGAGATGTTCACTAAGTGCTGAAATGCTTGTGTATTTGTTCCTGTTTATTGTTTTTAATATTATTTCATTTATGAGTATATTTCCATATGCATTTGTTTACAACTTCTACATTATATGGGCCGTTATTGATTATGCAAACCTAATCTATTAATGTATCTCATGTAACGGTAAAGTTTAATGTTAACATAAACACAATTTTGATGTAGTTCTTAAACGTTTTTACTTAGAATTATATTGTTTTCTTACCGAATTTTCATTTTAACCACGTGAAACTATGTAAATACATTTAGGATGTGCGTATGATATTGTTATTTAACGGTGTAATTACATTTTTGCTAGTTGTTTATATCACAACTTTTGCCATTACATTCAGTGATATACGGGAATCACGATTTACAAGTAACAGTATAAAAACATTGCTAAGGATTCTGTATGATGTGGTACGGGAGGAGGCCCATGGGGGGTGACACCATGAGTTACCGCACTGGGTGACACCAACCCGAGTGGCGCCACTGGATTTCGGTGAGCTGCACATACACCAAATCACAGAAACCGAATAAGCATAAAGCGAGGGAAATCTGTACTCAATATCTCTCACTTCTTTAGCCCATATGTAAGGACCATTCTAATGGGATCATGTCATTCCCTGCAGCCACCGCAGGTGCAAAAGCAACCACCACCGCATTGGGGGAGAAAAAAAAATCAGTTCGAATCAGATCACAACCGTGAATCCTCGACAATTCATGAAATCCGCCGGGAGTGGTGAATAGGTTTATGCCTGCAATTTACAAACAGCCATGCGTGGTGCTTATGTTGGATTGGTGTGATCATGTGGGCTGGTGTACGTGAAAGTCAAGAATATTCTTGGTTCTTTCGGTAAAGTCACGTAGAAGGGAAATAATAATATAATAAAAATAAAACTTTTTATTTTATGTTTAATTTTTATTATTTCCCTTATACGTGACTTTAGCGTAAGAACCAAGAATATGAATCCCTGCAGTCACGAAAGCTTTAAATCGAAAGTTAAGAATATTATGCAAATGACATCGCTGTCAAAGCCAATGCGTTATAAAAATGTTTTGTAAATGTTTAGTAATGTGTCCATGTTGTACGCGTAGGTGTAGAGCCCCTTTAGTCAATTCCACTGCTGAATGAGGGCCTCCACTAGCCACGCCGGTCACCGCAGGTTGCCTTAAGGCAGGAAGCATAGAAGTGGTGGCATAGAGGTACAGTACAACGCAACAATGTATGTTGCTGCTCTGTCCTCTGTTTCCCACAAGGCCATATCTGCTGGCATTTCATCAAAATCAATGGATCCGATTTAAACATAGCATGGGACACACACAGACTATCTCAAACACATTCCTGCGGAGGGAGCTGTTAAGAACGTTGGGTTGCTCGGTCAATGGCCAGGGTCAAGGGCGGCGTGGTGTATTCCGCAAATATGCCCGACTGTGAGGGCGGGCACAAGCCGGCATGAGTAGGTTAAACGTTGAGTTTTAGAAGGGCACCACGGGGTGACCAGCCCCTCCCCACCCAACCCCACCCCTCCCACCCCCCACCCAGCCCCACCCTCTCCACCCAGCCCCTCCCCACCCTCCCCACTATCCTCTCCCCACCCACCCAGCCCCACCCTCCCCACCCAGCCATTCCCCACCCTCCCCTCCCCACCAAGCCCCTCCCTGCACGACGGACGGACGGACACAATAATCCCCTGTGGGCTGGTGTAACCAGGAGGTTCCTACCAGTATAACCTGAGATGCACGGTGATCTGGATGGATTGGAGATAGGACTCGTACAGTCGTCACCCGTCTTACCTCTCAGCATGAAACACAACCACACGTTCATTGAGTCTGATCATCTCAGGCCAGTTGTTGAATTGTCGAAAAAAAGACAAGGACTTCATTCTGCTTCGCTTCACTTAATCTCAATCTCCAAGGAGAGAGAGAGAGAACATTGCAACAATATTGTTCTCTTGTATGCATACTGAACTTCTTTCGCACCGTACATAGCCAAGCATGCTAATCGGAGGTGCGGGGGAAGGACAACAAACTAAACACAAAAAAATATGTTCTAAAGAACTAAGTTTTCAATCTAGATCATGAGCTGTGACACGGCCCAGCCGTAGCGTGTTCGTTGCTTGTTCCAGAGGTCTCCGGTTCGCATCCAGCAGTTGCCCTGGTTAATACTGCGTTGTGTGTAATAACCGAAATAATAACACACGTCGTATGCTTCCCAGTTGATGTTAAACACCCCCCGACGTCATTCGCAAGCGTTAGGCCACTTGTTGTCGGCGTTTGGGTTCAAATTTTGAATGTATTTGCAAATTATTCAATTGGTATTATACATAGCAGTGATCACGCTCTATGGATGCCCCATGTCTCTCTTGCAAAATGAGACTATTCTGGTCTCTTGAGTTCCTATCTTGGTTAAACACATAAAAAACTTGAAACTTAAACAGAGAAAGTGCATAATAATCTGGCAGATCGCCACGAGACAAAACAACATTCTGTCTGCCGCCAAACTCAATACGCTGAGTAAATCTCTGTTCCTCTGTAACATATGGAGCCATCGCTTTCACTTTAAACGATCGCCTGTTGAGAAGACGGTAATTAGAAATCAATGGGGTATCTATAAATTAATTTCCCTGAATAATTGAAAATGCTGCTCAATTTACCAAGATACTCTACTGATAAATAAATACGTTATTCACCTGTGAAGCTGCGAAATATTGACCAAGAAGACGCTAACGTGTTATTGGAAATATTTGCATAATTAAATTCGGCCATTCAAGAGGTGACCGGGTGACTCAAGAGATCAAAACGCCGACCCTCGAATCCAGATCCTAGGTTCAAATCCACGGTTTGAATTCCAAATCCTGGGGTTCGAATCCAAGTTTCAGCCACCTGCAAAAATAATCTGGGTTTCTCACATGTGGCAGGCTGACGGTTTCAGCTCAGTCACCAACGACTCCACAAACACAACTCCCATCAGGTTCATATTTGGTTTGGCACTAAATTTGTATCAATTCCAGCTGTGAGAAAAACAATGAAATAATATCAGTTTGGTCTGTCACGTGACGAACAACCTCACAGCAGAGTGTGTGGGAAAGAACGACCCCTGCTGTGTAAAGGACAAAAAGGTCACCTGAAAGATTATTTTTGGCGGGGGGGGGGGGGGAGTCTTGGAAACACGTGCCTCTTCCACGGCCGTTCTCTACCACGCAATCATTGTTTAAAATTGATCCGTCGCGATGCCGAGAGCGTAATTGCGATAAATTTGTCAGAAAAGACCAAAGAATATTTTAAACAATTCTATCATTCAGATAATAAGCCCAAATAATTGGCAAGCAACATGAAAGAGTCCAAGTGAAAGAGGGAAACTTCAGTCATGCGTAGCGCATTTGTCAACGTCTATGAAATGTCATTTCTGAAATTATTTAATACACAATCATTAAAAATACATCTTCTGGAAAATGCAATTTTTTTTATAGAATCTTTCTTCGACCTACAATATACAGAATGGAGAAGAGTTAAGCAGCAGTTACAATGAAGCAAAATACAACGCTTGCACATTTCTCTCGTGACAAAGAATCCGTCAGATCGCACAGCTGCACAACAGTTGCGCCTAACACCATATTTTTTGCAGTGCTTTCTAAAGTGCTAAGATTTCCAAATTAGCCCAGTGTCTAACTTAACAGAAAATTAGTAGGATAATACTGATTGAACTGTGCAGTGGCATTAAAGCTATGTTTTTACTAAGACATCACTGATTTAGCATGAATTTAAAGACATGCTTTGAGCTGGATTATTTTTGGCACGACGTTTTAAATAATACATTTTTAAGCATTCAGAAAACAGCAATCGCGCAAATTCATCGCAACCTCTGAAAATATCTTTTTGGAGAACGAAAATTAAAACCCTATAATTTGGCACTTTTTTAACATGAGAAAAATCACCAGCATTGTGGATTTGACACGAATGAACAGGCCGTTACTAGCGTTACAGCAGCATCCTTCACGCAGACTTTAGAGCGTATTGCAGCATAGGCAGCTGAGATGTAGTATCGTAGAGATGACTCATTCGTGCCAGGCTTGGGTTTGTTAATCGTCTTTTCAAAAGCTGCCATTATAATTGAAATTAATTGCATTCACCTGGAGAGTGAGAATATAGCACGGGACAGATGCGATTTTAATTCGACCCTTCAAACTGCGGAATAATGTGGCGGGCCAGTGAGGCTGATCGCTTCACATGAGCTCAGGACTCCTATGCTACCGATCACATCGAGTACAACGCAAAAGGCAAAACAGTGTGCGTGATGTCTTACTCTTGGCAACCACAGGGTAATTGGGAAGGTGAAGCAATACGGGGAAGGTCTGCAATATGTGCCAAAGGGGATACCTTCAGGATGTCTCCCTTAGCGAATCACCAGTGAATCGTTAAGGTTAGATCATGTAGGTGTAGTGTACATTTTCGTTTTTAAACTAAAACCTGTCACGGCTGGGCAGAGACAATCAAATCAGCTGTCACCTCGGCGAACTTTCAGTATTTTTCTTTCGTTTGCGAACTGGGATGATGAAGCACATTGTCACATAGTCACTTTAAGATGGTTTCTTGTTCATGTTTTTGTTTTTTGTTTGTTGCGGTTGCACCCGATTCAAGAGCCGAATGGCTCACAGGGCTATACCAAATAAACTGAAATGAAACTGAAAAGCAAAGCAAAATAGCATACGGTTTCATACAATTGCCAATATTACTTTTGCCTGCTCTTCAACATCGCACTTTGCTGAAACACCGATATCACTTAGCATATTTGTCAAGGTGACAACTTGATTTTATTGGCTGTCAGATGGTAGATAATCAGTAAAAAAACATTTACATGAGAATCTAACCCAAATAAATTAATGATGAATCATGATATTGGTTGTGAGCGCCTACGTATCTGTTCACCAGTGAATAATGAAAGACCAATCTTATACACAAGGGCAGGGTTGACCATTCCCAAATTTGAGGATCCTTCATTTGAATAGTTCTTGCTTTAGAATCGTTTTGGGTGCAGCCATCTTTACATCCTTCCGATTAGCACAGTTGGCTACGTACGGTGCGAAATAACTTTAAAGTACGTACACCCCTCTCGATCATCTGCCCTTTGCATCATAAAAACTCGGGGATCTGTCCTAAAGGTCAAACGCCCCGAGTTTGAATGTTACAGTTTCCCGTCTCTCCAGAACGTATGGCCGACAGGGTATTTGTTTTAAACGATGTCAGATATAATGAGTCTCATGTTTATGTCGATGAGAAGAGTTCACAATTGGTAGAAATGTCGCACTCTCCGCTCACTTACCTCTGAGAAAAAAATAGCATGGATTACATATTTTAAGTGTGATACAGAGAACTATATGGATACAATTTCTGTTTAAAAAAGTTGTTGCATTTTCATCTGTTGTATATAAATGCAAAACGAAACGGGCAAAATGAGAAAACCGGATGAAAATGCAAAGGGATACTGGGAATAACAAAGAGAGTGAACTGATGTTCTTGTCGAAGGCAAGTTACAAAATGCATCGGATACAAAAGCATGTAAAGGTCACGTTAAAGTTGTGGAGAAAATTATTGAAAACTGACAAAAGAAATTCCAGACAATGATGCCTCAAGCATGGAAAGGAAATGTGGCGATGGAAATCAGAAACAGGATGAATGGGCAGGACCTGCATTGGTGTTTTCAGAAAGGGTTTCATCGTTTTCTTTTAAACTTAACCAATTAAAGTTGTCAGTGTCGTTTCAGCAATGTACTTAACCATTCAGGCTACCAATCACTAACGTAAACGGAATTCTAATACAACTGTAAGTCAGAATCCCAAAATGTATTATCAAAGCTTTTTAGAAAAAAGTTGAAAGCATATTTTCCAAAACATAGTTTTTTGCAAAATTAAAACTATCTTTCCATTCACCTATTGAAAAATCAAAAGACAACATGTCCAATCTTTTTCTATTTTCCTGCAAGAGCACTTTTCTCTCTGCAGAAAACTCTTGAGTGTACAGTTGCCAACGCTACGGGGTCTCTGCCGTCCTGCAGCACAGCCGAGCGCGCCGGCAGGGAACGCCAATCGTCCCCGCGCGCGCACTCGCGATCAACGCCACCGCGGGTCACTTTATGGGCCTCCATCCCCACTCGCCCCAGCCCTCCTCGTCCTCCGCCTCTGCCGCTTTGCCCTCTTTGCTGTCCACCAGGCCCTGCCTCTGGCCTCGGTTGCCGCCGCCGCCGCCTTTGATGCGCGGCGGGTGCGTATCCCGGCCCGTGCCGCCCTTCTTGCCGCCCTCCCGCTCACCGAAATCCGAGTCCAGGATGTCCCAGCTGCTCGAGCGCAGGAACTTCCCCTCGGCCTCACGCCGCTTTCCCCACGACCTCTGCGTCTGCGTCGTTTGCTGCTCCCAGTCGTTGCCTCCGTCTTCGTCGGCCTCCGGGGGCCATTGGGGAGGGTCTCCCTTCGTGGGGCTGCACTGATTGCCGCTCCTTTCCCGCGCCCGCGGCTTGCGGCCAAAGTTGTTCCAAAATTCTTTGCCACCGACGTTGTTGTCTGCGGCGTCTTGCTGAGCCCGTGTGGCCCTGTTACGAGTACACAAAACAAGGGCACATCCGAGGAATGAACTGTGGATTAAAACGAAATTTAGGAGTTATTTTTTTAAGTGTTTCCTTTCTTGTATCAGCATTTCACTGTCACTCAGTACCATTACCAATGCTGTACCGGTGGTGGAAATTCCACATTCCCATCCTGTTTAACAGTCTCTTTATAGAATGACTATTTATTTTCTTTCTGCAAAATTGTACCTATTTTAATGACCCCGGAATGATGATAGGCTGACTTTATATTAATACTTTATTTTTATGAGCAGTGATGTAATATTGGCAAATAAAACAGTCATTATTGTTGAAAGATACGGATTTAACATTTTTGTACAATTCTACCTCTGTAGATTGAATGCGGTTATTTTAATGCGATTTAGACCTGCAACTTAATGGGAATTTGTATTATTTATTTCCAGGCCTTGGTCAAGTTTGTGTTATGTAGCTAAAACAACTTATGTATGGAAATTGATTTTAATGGAATACATATTGATAAGCAGCAGCTTCTACATCAAATGAGAAGTGAGCGTGGGGGGTTGTAAACAAATATTAAAGGATGAGAAAAAAAAGAGTTTAAAATCCGATATGTAATCTAGGTTTGTGCATTTGACTGTCTTGCTGATGATTCGCCCTCAGAAGAGTTTTGGCTTCTGAGAAACAAAAAAGCAACTGGGAGCTTTTGCCGAAGATGGAAGTACTTCGTGTTTATTGAGCAATAACAGGTGAAAATTAAGGTGAAGGCATTGCAGCAAAAATGTGAAATCTGGGAACGTTATGCCGATGGCTCTTGCGGCAGATGCCGACGGGCAACTGGGGGGCAGTGGTTCTCAGCCTTTGTGGAATGACAGCCCCCCCCCCAAATCAGGACCACTGGCCTGTGCCTCCCTCCCCCACCAGTTGATTGAGGCCACAATAAACACAGACCGCCCGGTCACACATCTAAGTCAAAAGTGCTAGCAACTTGGCATTTGTTGCAACCTGTTCAACCCGTTTGCGTTTCGTCGTCGGCAAAGTGTCGCCGCCGTTCCCTGTGCACGCGAGACATTGCTCCTGCACGGTATCCAGACTGCGGCCTGCAGATTGGGATGGAAGTCGGTGGCCCAAGCGGAACCCTGAGCCACTGCAGTGCTTACGTTTGGTTGCATGGCGAAACGGGCAGATGTACGCACGCAGCTCATGGCCGAGTGCTACAGCACTGCGGGGTTTTTTGCCCGCTTGTTGCGAAAGTTAGCGGTTCGAACCCCACTGCCGCCCTGGTCAATGTTGTGGCGTCTCCTTCACAGTGGATGGGTTTAAAAAATAAATAACCACTCGACGTTATTCGAAATTGAGGCCGTAGAAGAAAACACGTAGCGTGTGTTGTCGCCTCCTACCGTGAAAACTGAGCAAACTCATCCTGAACAAGTATAACCCGTAAAAACAAAGTTTTCACTATAAATATTTTATATGCGTGGCGGCTAGTCCTCTCGTCCTCTGGCTTGAGATGGCTGCCACCTATGGGTCAGATGAATGCATTGCACCATTAAGCAATTGGTATTTGAATATAATATTTTTGTCCTAAAAAGTGTAAAATTTTGGAAAAAAATTCTCACGAACATTAATTGTCACGCACAACGAGTCTGTGTGGAAAATGTCAGCTCGATTGGATCACGGGAAGTGGGTTAAAAAACGACCGAAAGATTTGCACGGTCCTAAGCAAGCAAGCGAACTTAATATAAAGGATTTAAATACTTGAATACATACATTAGTCGACTGTACTGTATTAAAAGAATATCTATGCCTCGAGTGTTCTGGCTGGCTGCTGGCTGGGCACCTCTCAATCCCAACAGTAACTCGGTCGTCAGTGGGTGCGGGCCTCTCCCACCGAAGCTATGTGGGTGACTGGCTAATTGGTATTTCCCGGTGTTACAAATGAACATTGAATTGGGTTGAAATGGTGGGGAAAGGTTTGTAAGACGTTTAATAAAAAAAAATAGCGACGCCGAAGAGGTTGGAGGAACGGTCTGTTTAAAATTGCTCTATCTTTGCAATTGTACTCCTACTCATGTTATTCTTTCACCAGAGTATGTATACAAAAAAACCCATCACGATAAATATTACATTTGCATTCTATTATTACGTGAAAAAAAGCACATTACTTTCAGTGCTCCGTAGACCAGAGGATTGTGAGAAGAGTATTTAAATAACAGCTCTCTTATCTTTCCTTGGAGAGAAATGGGGTTTCTCCTCGTAGCAATAACAATCATCACACTTTCTTTACTAAAATAAGACATCAGGTTGTATCTCCAGTCAAAGTCAATGAGCACCTTAACAGTAGGGATTTTAAATTTTCATTTAAAGCTTTCGTGACTGTAGGGATTCATATTCATATTCTTGGTTCTTTCGGTAAAGTCACGTAGAAGGGAAATAATAAAATAATAACAATATTAAACAATAACAGTAGGGATATGATGCATCAATTAATCCAAATTAATATCAGCTCACAATATTCCCGTTGCATTGCATGTGAAAGAATCTATAATTTTGTATTTGTATGAACGATGTAGTATGTAAAGGTTCATAGAGAATGCTCGTGAAGGACGCTACTGGGCAGTTGGAGGCGATAGCCTCCAGCAACAACGGAGGACAGAGGAGTGACTCTCACAACATCGAACGGAGCACCGGGTGGCTTAAACATAGTAAGTAGGCACAGTAGGGGGTACAAGTGGTACATCGGCCAGTCATCTCAGTCAGTCGACCATTGGCACCTGGGTCTGTCCCGTGACCAGCCAGCGGGCGTTCGACACTTCACGTGGTCTTAACGTGCACATAGCCTGGCACAAGCGCCGTGGCGTCACCGCAACTTAGTGGTGAATGGCGGTTGTTGTTGGGAAGGGGCCGTCCATAAATGACGTCACGCGATTTTGGACGAATTTTGCCCCCCCCCCCCCCTTCGTCACACGGCATCACAAAAAGTCAGACCGCCCCTCAAATATGACGTCAAAAAGCTCTGCCCTCCCCCACCCCCCAAAAAAATTTAACATGCTTCAAATCGCTTTAAAATATTGTCATTGCGGTGCGTATTTAATGTGGCGCTGCACTCTGATGTTGTAGTAGAAAACATTTATTAAAAAGTCTATTTAATTAAGTAGAACGTGTTGTCTATATTTATTTAAAGTTGCGCATTTTGATGGAACGTCACATTTCTCAAACCCCCCCCCCCTCGTCACACATCGTCACAAATGTCTGACCCCTCCCCCTAGGTGCGTGACGTCATTTATGGACGGCCCCAAAGGATTCATATGACGTCTGCAGCTACTGAAGGCTACATTATAATCACTGCAATATGTGCATTAGAAGAAAACATTCTGGAATTAAATCGCAAGGCTAAATTCCCTTTAAGAGGGTAGCACCTGTGTTTGTCATGGTGTGAAGATGATGTGGATGATGATATGCCTGCGTTGTGTACTGGTAACAGACTTCCTGTCACCATGTTCAAGTTTTCCAAAAGCCACTCCAACGTGCTCCCATATCCCCTCTTTATGTGGCCGGTGGTCGGAGCCTCACCACGGAGTGGCACCCAAAGGAGGGGACATACAGGAGAGAACGTCCACTGAAGGGAAACAACGATCCGTTCATGTGTAGCGCCAATATAGATGTCTGTATCGTATGACTGACAGAGGTGGCAAGTGCCTGTGGAGGCCTTCCTCCATCAGCGGATAGATCATGACCGATAATAATGAAAGAAGGATAAGAATACTGCCTGCCTGGTACGAGGATACATACATGTATTTATATTAAGCGAGCTTGCAATGAAACTGAATTTACGAGAGTCTGACTTGTGTTTTAATTTAATACGTTATTGTCCAGCAAACGTTACATTTCCCAACAGCGTGTACAGTCTATTGCAAGTGCTATTCAATTTTTATGTGTAATTTTACGGTGTCTTTGTTTCCTCTCGAATCCGACAAAGAGACTCATGGCCTGGGAAATCTTAATTATTTTCGCCAATTGAATGACCAATGATGTGTCTAAGCAAACAAAACAAAGAACACGTTACATTCTCGCCTCTCCCTATTCCATCATGCACGTCATTATTTCGTGGCATATCATCGAGGACCAAGATCTCTCCGCGTGGAAAAATTTGTAACTCTCCGTTTGAAAAGAATGTCAATATGATCCGTTGAGTTTTAACGTACAAATGCGAAAACGGTGCCACGATAAACAGAAAGCGTGCTCCAGAGAAAATAAAAAGTAATAATACTGACTCTTTGTGTCTTTCGGTAAAGTCACGTAGATAGAAACATAATAAATAATAAAAAATACAAAAAATCACGACGTTTCGATCGCAACACAAGCAATCGTCTTCAGGTGAAAAAATACAGCAGGCAGACTGCTGAGACAGGAAGACATGTAGCAGGAGAGCTACTGCAGCCAAAGGTTATATAGGGTTGAGATGGGTACAATCCCAGGGTAAGTGGGCAGGGCTAGAGATGGAATTTGCAAATAAATGTAATATCGCAGAGCTAGGTATACCTCGGCTATTGTGTTGCTAGAGATTAGCATGTCAATCTGTTAATGTAGCCCCACGGCTACGGTGCTGAAGCAGCCATTGTATGGCTCGAGATTAGAGATGAGCATGTCAATGTGAGACGGCTCCCGCAGCAGCGGCTGTGTTAATGAGAGTCATTTAGCATATTAAACAACGAGCGCCACCGCCGAGGAAAACGGAGCAGCGGGTATGTTATTGAGATATTTAGCCTGTTAATGTAAAGACATTTAATAAGGTAATGTAACACAGAGAGTCGGAAATAACTATCTACGTGACTTTACGGAAATACCCAAAGAGTATGAATTCCTGCAGTCACGAAGCTTTAAGTTGAAATAATAATAATGAAGATATTTAAGGAAATAAAGACTACACCTTCAAATCAGGGTTATCTAGACACAAAATAATTGTATTTTAAGGGAGCCAGAATGGTGGTGTTTTTGTATTTGTAGTG